GTCGGTTGGTTTACAAATTGTTTTGTGCTTCCATTTCGTAGTCTTCAATTACAATTACATTGTATATATTCTCATATTTTCAATCAAATATTAAATACATCAATCATTTGACTATACTATTATTTATTCATATTTTATGAAAGAATCCATATTTTACTTAATTTGTTTTATGACAGTTCATATAATCATCTCAAATCTATCCTACAATCATTTTGTAGATATAAGAAAAAAATACATCTTTATATATTTATTATTTTTTAAAGATCTACATATTTCATTACCATGTTTTATTGTTTAACCATTGATAGAATAGATCCCAAATTTTATAAAATCGTTTATCATCTTGTTCTCTGATTTCAAATGTCAATCTACTCATTTCAGCACATTCCAATATTTTCTTAATAATTTCCTCCTGTGATGGTATTTTCTCATTTTTCCAGTTTTTGGCAAATACAATCCTAGCCGCTGTTAATACATTTACAATCAGGTATTTCAATTCTTTACTATATGTTTCAGGTAAAATTCCCAATAAAAATATCTCTGGTTTCAAGTCTATATGTTTTTTTGTCATTTTTTCCAACCACGTGTAGATTTTAGTCCAATATTTTTTGGCATCTGCACAAGTCCACCACATATTGGTAATATGAGCCAGGTATCTGATGACATTTCCAACATTTTTCAGATTTGATCTTGAACATTCTTGCTATTCTTGTTGGGGGAAAATGCCACCTGTAAAACATCTTATACAAATTTTCTTTATATGCTGTTGACATTGTCATTTTATAATTTTGAGACCACAATTTTTGCCATTTCTCTAGATCAATCCCATATCCAAAATTCTTCCCCCAAGCAATCATAGTTTCTTTAACTTGTTCTTCTTCTAGTTTAATTTCTAATAAATATCCATACAATTTTTTAATCACCTTTTCATCAGTATCTGTCAAAATCTTATCTAAATCAGTCAGTTTATCATAGAAACCTTCTGTTTTAGAATCTTTGTCATACCTTGAATGTATTTGCGCATATGAAAACCAATTCATCTTTATACCTTGTTCACCCAGAGAGTTCTTGTGCCTGACAGTGGACTAGAAACCGAGTCTCTTCAGGACCAGTTCATCATGTTAACCATTATATTATCCTAGCTTCCTTCTGCATCATGCTGCCATGCCAAAACTGACACCTTCTGGATTAATTGGACTTGAGTGCCTCCCATCCAGAGCTCAGAACAGATGCTTTTCAGTCCACTTGGGAGGCAGATGCTAGGTTGGTAAGGATGATGTAAAGCCTAAAATAAAGATCTCGGTATTTATTCTTTTTTCCCCAGATGTGCACACACACACACACACACACACACACACACACACACAGAGGCAGTCCCTAGTCAGATAACCACGCGTTGTAATTGGGGAAGATTAAATGAGAAAACATTAAATGTCAGGAAGATTATAATGGTTATAATTTCTGGTCTTTGGGGCCCTTTCACCTTTCTGTGATGAGAGCAGAGGAGGCTCCCTATTTCTCCTGACCGGCACAGCCACCCCCCATGCGCGATGCAGTGACGCTCCCTTGAGAAAGTGCCACGAAATGGGGTGGAGGCTGTTTGAATCAACACGTCCTGCCTCAGAGTTTGCGGTGCCTCAACAATAGCTGTGAGTTTTGGGGAGCCGTATGTTCAGCCAGCGAGTGAACCTTGGGAAAGGAATTCCATGACAAGCCATTGTACATTTCATAACCCCCATTATTTCTTTGCACAGGCTGCTCTTTCTCTGCTCTTCATCAGCTCTGGCCTGTCACAATGAATCAAAGAATCAATTTACCTCTCGACTCACTCCATGCCTGGAATCATTTATGAGATGTTGTGGGGGAACCCCGGGGCAAGCATTGCAGTAACACATGATTCCCCATTCTCTTTGCTTACCACCCCCCTTCTAATCCCTGCCTTATTTTAGATCCATTCCCAGAGCTGGCATCAGTTGGGGCTGATGGAGAGATGGATGAACCCGGCTCACATACACCTTCCCTAACCTTGTCTGAGGGTTGGGGGAGTTCTGTTTTGAAGTGAAAAATATGGTAAATGAAATTAACCAATAAATTGAAAGCGAAGACAGCAGTGCTAACAATCAAAGCAATAAACTGGAAAAAGTCCCAACAAAGAATATTAATATATAGCAACCTCAGCCCTATTATATGTTATTAAATCCAGGTCATATGGAATGATAGTGTTTTGTCTTGCCACTTTTACAATATATGGATATTTTCAAGATTAACAGAGAATAGAATGTATAATTGAACTTGCTCTTTAACACCTAAAGGTTTGGTTTCTTTCCAGCTATGAAAGATAATCTTCTTAGTAGATACACTGACTCTTTTGAGCCAATGTTCTTCAGGAAATGTCAAATCCAATATTTTTGGAGTATAAGAAACACGGGCATTCTGGTCCAGCATGTCTGGAGAACTCACATGGTGCGTGAAGGTCATACTCTGTGAATTTGCCTAACTTCCAGACAAACCACAGCATGCTTATGAGGCAACCATAAAACTCTTCTCAGATGTATTCACATTACTTGGTTTGGAGGCAGGTTCTTGCAGGTGACTGGGCTGTTAATCTGTTATGAAACTGTCTTCCCTTTGGGGGAGGAGGGAAGGTTAAACAGAGAGAACAATGGCAGACATGGAGAAAGTGACCCTGCTGGGTTCCCGCTGCTTATTTTCTCACTAGATACAAGACTGTCCTTTCCACCTTATAACCTGCACTTGCAGTCCATAATACTCTTGGCTAGGGGTCAGGATACTAGTATTTCATACTACCTGGTTGATGTTTATATATTTCTTGGTTAAATTTATATTTCACGTTTTGTTCAGAAGAGCAAGGCAGGGTAGCACATATCCCTCCCCTTGATGTATATGTGTGTAGGGGATTGTCTTTTGAATCTTTTGTTCTGTTGCCATTGATAGCCCCTTTTTTCTGGTTTAGAAATTAAGTCGCTAAAGAAAAGTACTTGGATAGAATGTGGGGAAGAGACAGGGTAACACAGAGATCTGGTAAACATAGGAACAAAGGAACAAACGGACTTTTTAATTAAATAACCAAAAAGTGAGCTTTAAACAAATTCACACACCTTCCCCCTTCTGCTTCTGCTCTGAAAACCTCTAGCCCTGACAGATGGAGGTTTTGGCAGGCACTCTAGGGCTCTCAGTCTCCCTCAGACCCAATTTTCCAGGCATAGCTCCTTCCTTTGCGGTTACTCCATTCTCCTGAAATATAAACTGGGAATTGGTGCTCCTCATTTCCGTGATTTGATTGGCAGTTGCACCAATCGTCACATTTGTCTGTCACATTTTGGCCCAACAATAGCCCTATGAGGTAGGTTGGACAGAAAAATTCAAGGCCTTGCTACTAGATTGGCTGGCTGTCATACAATGCTCTGTCTTTTCTTTTGTTTTTTTGTTGTAATCCTAGTGTTAGAAATCCTGAGCTTAAATGCAGGACATGTCCAACAGAATACAGATAGTCCTCGACTTATGACCACAATTGAGCCCCAAAATTTTTGTTGCTCAGTGAGACAGTTGTCAAATGACTTTCTTGCCACAGTTATTAAGTGAATTACTGCAGTTCAGTTATTTAATTAAATTTAATTATTTAATTTAAATTATTAGTTAGACCTTTCTTGCTATAATTGTTAAGTGAATCTGGCTTCCCCATTGACTTTGCTTGTCAGGTCTCAAAAAGTAATCACATGATCCCAGGATACAGCAGCCATCATAAATATGAGTCAGTTGCCAAGCATCTGAATTTTGATCACATGACCATGGAGGTTATAACAGTTGTGTGAAAAACGGTCATAATTCACTTTTTTCAGTGTTGTTGTAACTTTGAACGGTCATTAAATGAACGTAACTCAAGTACTATCTGTACTGATTGCTATAGAAAATAGGACATTAGAACAGCTCTTATCCAGCAGGAAGCATCAATGGGAATGGGTATAAATGGATAATTAACTAATGGAACCAGAAAATAGTCCCATCTATCAGTTTCTGCAATTTTGTTTTATCTGCCTTTGTATGGCTAACTCTCCCTCTTTGGCATTTTCACCTTCCGCCCCTGGCAGCTAACGATTTTGATATTGGGTACATGGATAGGGTGAAAAATGGAGCGGATAATTTCTATTCGTTCCCCAAACGATGAGCAAAGCATCGGGCCCTGGCAAACAGGTGCACGAATTGACCTAACGTCTGAAGGCGGACGACGAGGGCAAAGTAGGGGGCGGAAGGACCGGACGCTAAAAGGCAGCGCCGACATCTGAGGGACCAGACGGGACGGGGACTGACGGCCCCTCCAGCCTGGAGCAGACTAGATGGATAGAGATTGCAGGCCGGCCGTTGTACGCGGCCAGAGACGGACAAAGGACTGAGGGAAAAACCAAAGCTGGCACCGTGGAGCGAGAGCAGCATCCGGAAAGGCCAATTCGTGGAGGCACCGACGGCGGGACTTGGCAGGCTCGTCGCGCCAACAACGGCCGGGCTCCCAAACCCTCCCCGAAGTCATCCATATTTATAAACGCCGCGTCCGTCGTCGGTTCCCCCCCACTCCCCATTCACTCCGCCCTCTCCCCTCCTCCTTTTGGCAAACGGAGCGAAGGAGCGAGGCAGACCAGACGGCGGACGAGGGTGCATTTTTTCGCAACAGCGACAGGCGTCCCCCTCGCCTCCGGGGGATCCTGCGTCGACCTCCAGCGGAGGGGGCGGGGAGAGAAACATCTCCTGCCGTCCTCCCCCATTTTCTGCTCGGTCTAAGCCCGCCGCTATGCCGCCAGGGGGGTGAATGGGGGGCAAGCACCGGACAGCACCTCCACCTCCCTGCCCAGGGCTATGCCAGGGTGGGGGGGCCGGGAGGGCGAGCGACTCGCCCCCCCACCTGTAGGATCCCCATGAGCTGATCTCTCCCCCGCCCATTCCTAAATTGTGGCCCCCTCGGTCCGCCCCCCTCGAGCGGCATCGCCATGGGATGTAACATGTGTGTGGTAGAGAAACCCGAAGAACAATATCGGGTGATGCTGCAGGTAAGAGAGGGAGGGATGGAGGGAGGTCAGGGATGGGGGCGGCATTGATCTATGGGACGCGGCTGATGGGACGAGGTGAGCGAAGCACTAAGGGAATCGGAGGTGGGGGGGGTGTAGGTAAGGATGGTACACCCATGCAAGATGAAAAGAGGGCAGAATAGGGTCGTCTGGGGAGAAGGAAGGCACTGGAAAGGGTCAAGGGAATTTCCAATCGTTCCCACGGGAAGGGCAGTTTCGGTCATGGGGGGGGGCAAGGTAGAGGGCTGGAAGGTGGGGGTGTCTGAGAGAAAGCAAGGTGATCTAAAGATGTTTCTTGGGGCGGGGGTGGGGGAGGACATCGAAATAGGAATCCCAGGTTGTCTTTTGGGGTGGAGTGGGGATTTGGAGTACCATTCGGAGAATAGAGGAGGGGGGGTTAATGCTGCAATGGGGGAGGGACCAGGTACTGAGTGAGGGGAGGTTGCTTAGCAACTAGTCTCCCCCCTTTTCCCATAGCGTACAGTGTCTGAAATAATGGGGAGAGGATTTCTGCAAAAAAAGGGGGGAGAACAAATTGGGATGAATGGCACTGAGCAGCGAAGGGTGAAGCAATGGTTTGAGAAGGGAGTGACAGGTATTCATTCATTGATTCATTCATTCATTCACTTGCTTCCATCTCTTCCTCCAAGTCATTCCTTCCAGTCCCTCGGTTTCCTCAGTGGTTTGCTTATTCTGGTATCTGTTTCTTTACTCCTCCCTTCCCTCCTCTTTTTGTCTTTTTATCTCTCCCATCAGTCTTGCTTCCTCTCTCTCTCTCTCTCCTTTGTATGTGCCATTTATCCAGGTCTTTTTCCATCGCACTCTCTCATCCCAGGTCTAGGTACAAAAACCAGACAACCTAGTCTGCCTTACAGAGATGGAAGCTATATTGTAATTGGTAAACCAAGAGGCTTTTTAAAAAAAAAAAAAAAACAAAGGGTTATATATTTCAAACAGGCTGGGTTTTCCAATATTCTCTCACAGGGCTGCACAGTTAATTTGTACCTGCCTATGTGTAGAACTGAAATACATGGTATTATATATTCTTGTAGGCACTTACATAGCTGTCTTTTGTGCAATTATCAGTGTATACATTATAGGGGTTGTGTTTGTGTAGATAATCTTGCTTGCCCCATAAGGGACCATCTATTCTTTTGTCTTACCATCCTTTAAATACTATCAGGATTTAAATTCTGTTAATTTAGAGATTTACATTACAGCATGAAAGTAGCAAATAAGCTCATTTATACAAACCGAGAAGCAAATCCAAATACATACAGTGTTGCTGTCTGTATATCCTTGTGATTGATAATTGGGGATAAGGTCTTCTCTCACCAGCCTTCCTCAACACCACATAGGTTGAATGTCAGCCCCCATAATTCCCAATCAGCACAACACTGGACAAGAGCCGTGGGGGTGGGGGTGGGGGTGAGGTGTCCTTTTGTAATTTTATTCCTGTTGCTGGAATCAGATTGTCATGAAACAGAATGGATTTGATTGATGTCCTCAGAATGATATTTTTTTTCCTACAAAGAAAGGGCAAAATAATCTGTGCATTAGATTGGAACCATTTGATCAGCTAATTATTAGACTCAGATCTGCACATCATTCCTATTTTCATCTCTTGTAATAAAATTGCCCCTCACTGTGGGAAATAAATGGGATGAAAAGGGAATTTGTGGCTTATGGCATTCCTTGAGCTGAGCAAAGAGATCTAGCTGTACTCTCAGCATTTCCCTTGCGTCCAGAAGCCCTGATTTATAGCTCAGGCGTTCAACAGGTGACAGCAAAAGGAGACACTTCTTCCTCTTCTGTTGTACACTCCATATCTTGCTGAAACAAAATTAAGGAGCTGGGATCCTGGTCTCTCCAGATATCTGAAAGACAGCTCCCATCATTTCTGACTGTTGGTCAAGATGGATAGTTTTTATGGGAGTTAAGTCATAGCAACTGGAGGGACCGTCTGAACCTGACTATATATTCCAGTTGCTTTTAGCTTGATAATTTTCTGAAAGGAAAGCTGGGCTATAAACTGAATGAATAGGTTATTTGGGTTTATTAATAGCTTGAAAAACAGTCTTCCCTAACCTGCCAACTTTGTGATATCTTTCATTTGATCATGAACAATGAAAATTGGTCTAGCTTGTATAGGGGAGCGCCAGTTGGGAGTCATTGCATTTAATTCTCAGCATAAATTCTAGTTTAACATTTTTACTTTCAATAACATTGAAATAAGACATTTTAGAATTCACAATGCCGTTTTTATTATAAGGCTTCGCAAAGTCTGGAACAAAAATATTCTCAACGTGTCAAACAATACATTAGGAAAAGTATTGAGTATATAATAAAAAGTCAACAAATAAAGTTGAAACTCATTTGAATCCAAAGATTACTAGCATTTGCTTGTAACCAGAGTATAGAAAATCATGACACAAGAAATACCATATAGTCAAATGTTATTGCAAGGTATGATATATTGCTCTTTTGCTTCTTGGATTTGAAATATGTAAGTGGCCAAAGAAAAGAAACAAATTTCATAAAGATTTAAAGCAATCTGGAAAACAGTATTACCTTTCAATTGAGAATTAAAATAGTCTTGTCCCAAAAGTCACACCAGGCTGCATCTTTTTGAGTTAGAGGTGAGATCAGACGACTAAATAGTGGGTGTGATCGAAGTAGTGCTTAGTGGCCATTTCAGGCTGATGAAGGCATTACATACATACACACATACACATCTTCTGGTCTGGTTTCACATCAGCCTTATCTGCCACTAAAGGACTGAACACACAAGCGCAGAAGAGTACAGAAGATAGCATCTGGCTTGCCTCTCAGAGAAAGGAAAAGAAGAAAGGAGAATAACTAAGTAAAGGGGCTGCATGTAACGCAGCTCCCTTTGCAACTTTCTTTACCTTGGACTGTAAGAAAACAGAGTAGAAGAAAAGGCTCAGGGTGGAGCCTAGAGATGATGGACAGAATTCCACAATTAGATCCAGCCTCCGTTCCTGCTGCAGGCTGTGATTGGCAGATGCTTTTTCAGCTGGCTGGTGACTTGCAAAAAAGAAAATAACTAACCTAGAGGAGTCAGCCAATCATTTTATCAGGCACAGCACATGAAAAATCAAGGTAATATCATCAGTATCACAACTGTAGTTGAGGCAAGGTAGAGATCAGCAATAGTCAGCAGATTTAACATCCATTGGGTGAATTCATAAATTTTGTGGCTGTGGGGCTCTACAAATGTGTGTAAATGTGGTCCTGTCACTACGAGAGGGGGGACACCGAACATCAGATTTTTATAAGTAGTTTGGGGAAGGGGGGGAATAATCATAACTTTGAATGGTCACTAAGTAATCAATCATAAGTCGAGGACTATCCGTACAGTATAATTTCAAATAGCATTTTCCAGCTTTTCCTTCCTTTCTTTTTCTCAATCCGTGTGGCTAGAATCGCATCTAGAATTTTACTGTCAGCCCAGCAGCCACTTAAGTACAATAAATAGTATTGCAAATTCCAATCCAATCCAAAGACTTGCAATCTGTATTCAGGTCTTCCAGGTCCATCTCCCAAACTCTCAGTGCACAATGAATTCTAACAACAGGCTATGAACCTCTTATTTTGAACTTTAGGGGAAATTTACAGGAAACCACTTCTGTAAACTCCAAAATTCTTTGTATCTTAGAGCGTAACAAGAACGTGCAGTTTGTTGTTTGGATGGGGCATGTAAAATGTCTCTTTCTGTTGACTGACTCCTGCAAGTTTTATTGTTTGATCACCAGTTATTAATTGATGAATGTATTGGTTGATTGATTATATGCTGTCATGTTAGTTTGAATCTTAGCAACCACATAGGGAGATTTTCCTCCATGATGGCCTGTCCTGGTCCTTCAGCTCTTTCAATGATACCCCATTGTCATGACAACTGAGTCAATCCATCTCTCTGCTGGTTGTCCTCTTCTTCTCTTTCTTCTTCTCTTCCTTTCTACTTTCCTAGCATTACAGCCTGGTCCCAAGAGTCAAACTTTGCATAATGTATCTGAAGTAGAATAACTTAAGCCTGACAGTAATTGCTCAGAATAGCATCGTTTGTGTCTATCAGTAAATTGACACATGTTCAACTACATGTTATTAAGTCATGAAAAATCAGTGAATACAGACATCTATATATACTGGTCTTGATATTTACATAGGTTCAAAGCAATAATGAAACAGAATTCCAGTATTCTCTAAGCAGACCCATTCAAGACAATGTGAGTTTTTTCAGCAGATTCTGCACCTGTGGTTTTGATTGTTAATGAATGTGTATCAAAATTTGCTGCCAATTTATAGAAATTAAGTAATAGGGCCTGTCACACAATTTTTAGCCATAGCATGGAACAAAATGATCTTCTCCCCTGGTTTAACTTCATAAGCTGTTTAATGGACCAATTGCCATCACAAAACACAACACAGTTGAAAAAAGAAGAAATTGGGGTTACTAGCTCTGGCCTACAATACCTCAGGCATCAAAGAATATCTTATCCAGAGCAATTCTTAAGAGCATCATGGTGGCCCACAGGTGGATCTCTCACCTCACAATCAGGAGGCCCTGAATTTGATCCTAGGTAGTGGTAGATATTTCTCTCTCTGGGCAAAGAGAAGATATCTGCTGTGAACTCTGCATAGGCACCAGGAGGAGTATCGCCCAGTAAATGGTCATCTCCATTCAATTGCCTTACTTCACCCTGATGCAATAGATTACAGGATCATTAAAATAAAATAAAAAAACCCAGAGTAATTCTTAAAATGTATTCCTAGGATCTCTGGGAGTCCCTCCAACACCCTCTCAAGAGTCTGAAAAATCAAAACGTTTGATTTTTGAACAAAAAACTGAACAAAATTATTGTTAAAAAATAATAACACAATATTAAAATCTCATCAGACAATCATGAGAAGCAGTAGCAGCAGCAAATGTGTCAATTTTAATTTTTAATATGGTAAATATC